TGAGATCAAATGAACATTAAATTTTTTTGTTAGTTGTCAGCTTTCTGCAGATTGTTTGACATATATATTTATAAGTGAGTACACTATTATTTGAGATTGGTCTTTAGATGCCATGTTGTTGGTAAACATTATACCACGATCGAATACTTTCATTAACAAGAGTGATTTGCTGGCTGTGATAAACTTTTAAACTTTACACCCTGTATGGTGTGAGATTTGACTGAAAACAAAAAATCTTGGAATTTTGGAGAATAGAAGTTATAAAATAGAAAAACAAACAAACTGATTCTCGATTCCACAGTTTAAGAAATAAACAATATGTTCACTTCGATGTATATTTGATTTGGTTCGCAACTTAGTGTTTCTATTGGTCAGAAAATACATTTGATTGGCGCCATTACGCTAATCATGTGCGTAATAAGATATGCGTGAAAGTCTATCTTGTGACATAAGGACAAGCGATAAAGCAAAGCAAAGCATATTCTCCAGCGATTGTAGGAATTAAAAGAAAAAGGATTTTCTTTTCAATTTGTTTTTGTTCTAACTTATTCTTATGTCAAGTTAATGTGCTTATGCTTATGCTGATGCTTGCGTCATTTGCTTTATTGCCTTCTTTTGTATTTTCTTTTTTTATTCTTTGTTTATCCTTATTCTTATGTCGCTATTGAACACCAGTGGCTTATTAGATGAAACATGGTAGCCGGGATTCAGCCAAGCGTTAATTTTAGCGAATGAAAACGATTCAATACGAGCAATTTCACAGTATTTTGATTTAATAATAACTACACAAAACATTTGAAATTAAAACAACCAGTTTGGCCTAATTTGAAAATTACGACAGGAATTACTTGTGGTGCTGAACAAACATTTGTAATTTATACGCTTGAAGTTTGCCTCCTATCAATTCCTCGTAATCATTTTACGCCTCACTGAATCTCGGTTAACCGGGATCATGTAATCAAAAATTTTCAATGGAGTGTGAATAGTGTTTGTCCTCTAATCCGTGTCCAAGTCAATAAATATGGTAATATACCTAAACAATCTAATTATTCAGAGTTATGCATCACATGTAAATCAAAATGTTAAAACACAAGCTATACAAGTTATTAAAAGTGTTTGGAGAAGATTAACTCTTTAGGTAAGCTTTTGAGGAAAATTTAATTTGTAAGAAAGCCACTAATATAAAAACTTTTGTCTAACACAAAAGTTCTCGCATTAGTACGTTTGATGCCATAAGTAGACTGAGCACGAGATAACATTGCAAAAGAGGTTTTCAGTGAGAGAAATAGGAAAAAGTTTACTTTATTGATACAAATCTTAGCACATGTTAATATCTTCTTTTTTTTTACTGAGTATTGTTTATCTAATGAATTTGGTAGCTATATCAATGTTAAAATTAAGTGCTTATAATTAACAGTAGACTTGCCAATTAATATAGGAAGGTAAATTATACATTAGTTAAAAGTCTTTGCAATAGTATATTTTTGTGATATAGAAGCTCCCATACTTTAAGGTAAGTGCTTTTTCTTGTGCAGTTGCTACATGAAATGCTTTTTGGTCATTGTGATATTTTGCTGTTTTACATGTTCCTACTCATACTTCACTTGTTTTATTTGTTTTACTTTCAATTATCTTCAAGTTTGTTAGATGGTTCAGACAACAGATCTTTGTCACCGTGAAAAATTTTTCGTAAAAATCCCAATATAC